GTATATATTTGCAATAGTCAATCACTGTACCGAGTGACCTTGTTACTTGGTTGTATTGTACCAAGAAGGCTACAATCCTGTAACAATATATATGCTATACAAAGCTCCCATTTGCATATCTGCTGATACTAGTTGTAATCTCTTACTGAAACTATTGGGTTATTCAGCAATTTCTAAGATATGTTGTCTAACAGAAACAGAAAACTAGGAACCAAGGAGCTGATGGCCATTATGGAAATACTATTACTATTATAAGTTTTTCTCTTATTACCTTGTTTAACACTCTGGTCAGTAGTATCTATGAAGGATTGGTCCAAATATTCTAGCCTCTCTATAAAACATGCAGAGTGTTCATCACTACTGCCTATAGGTCAGGTCTCCATAATATGTATGCTGGGATCACATGATTCTTATAGTTAGCAAATGTATTCAGATTCATTAGTCCCTAAATTTGCTGAATTTGGTTAAATACTATCTTGTTGATCATCTAGTCATGATGGTCTAGTTTCATGTTTGAAGCTTGATCTGCTGTAACATTTTACTGGCCCGGTATGTATTCCACTATTAACCTTATGTGTCTGTGCAGATAAGTTGTTCAAATTTTCTTAGCCAGTAAACTTAATGCTAATAACACTGTTCCTCCTTGCTTGTTGATGTATGCTACTGTAGTTATATTGTTGCTTCATACCAGAACAGTCTGATTCCTGATATGTTTCCATTTCTTCAATGCTTTCTTCACTGCTCTTAATTCTAACAGATTTATGTAGTCTTGAGTCAGCTGATCTTCCTATTATCCAAAAACTATTAGTTCTTTTCATATAGCACTTTATTCCAATTTGAAGATATTGATAAAATAATTATAGAAGATGTGTTCTGTATTACTTTTTATTTGTTCCAGTCTGCTAGGTTCTTTATTCATATATCTAATTGGTACTTGCTTTCTTTTGAGAGATATACTAGTCCATTCTATTCATGTCATTTTATTGTTCAGTTCTTGTCTCTAAGCAAGGCCCTTAAAAACAGTCTTGCTGAAAAGATTGCTTTTGTGATGGCATTTAACTTGCCTAATAGAGCTACTAATTTTTATACATGAATTACCTTCATAGTATTCACTTTTTGGCATTCTCTCAGAATATCTTTTATCTTCTTTTGTGGTATCATAAATGTCATCTCTGCTGAGTTTATGCTGAACTCTAAAAACTCCATTATTCTTGATAAATCCATTGTATGATTTCTTTTTGTTTATTATGAACTCCAGATATTCTAGTCTTTTATAAACCTTTTGGGTATGTTTGAATGCTTGTTTTTTTGACTTAGGTATTATTAAGATGTCATCTAAATAAACAATCAATCTGATGTCCTAGGTTCTCAACATTTTTATTACTGGTTTTAATATCTTAATAAATATTATAGAACTTGTTGTTAGCCTAAAAAGTAATGTCATAAATATATAGTATGTATTGTGAAAATTGAAAGTAAAATAGTGTTGCAAAACATATGCAAGTGGCATATAATGAAATGTACTTTTTATATCTATATGTGTCATGAAGTCTCCTGGCTTTATTAAAGACTTTACCAAATGAGTACCTTTTATTTTAAAGTGTTTGTGTACTATAAATAAATTCAGTTTCCTAAGGTCTATTACTGGACATAATTTATCTGTTCACTTTGGAATCAAAAAAAGCCTTAAAATGAAACAAGTTATATCTAGAGAAATCTCTATAATTGTTCCTTGTACTATAAGCTTTTTTAACTCTGCATCTAATTGCTTTCAGTCTTGAGAACTTATATTTTGTTGAATCAGGCCTTGTTGTTTCAATAAAGGTGGCTTTATCCAGACTGATTTGTAACCTGTCTTTATTATCCTTGATGCTTATGATTCTTCAACTAATTTTACTTATCTTAAATAAAATAGACTCAGTCATGCCTTTACCTTTTCTATTGGCATAACTGTGTTGAAGAATTACTTTAGTGAAAATTTACATTTTTGTTTCAATTTGTTTGTGCATGTGACCAGTTACTTAACCCTATGCATTGATAGCCCTTACCTCTATTATCTGGCCTTAGTTGAAAGCCCTGTCTTCTATTACTAGCTTGAAGATTTTGTATATGTTTTTTCTGCTATAATGCATTATTAAAAATTTTTGTTTTCTCATTTTCTACTCTAATAACCTCTGTGAGTTTGTTCACTAATAGTGTTTTCATTTCTGTTCTTGTCTAGTGATCTGAATTAATGTATGATAATAAATTCAATAGTAAAGAACATGTTAATAATAATAAAAGTTTTATATATTCCCAAGCCTAAGTGCTTGCTTGTTTTAGAGTTTAGTTTGGTCTGGTACAACATCTTGATTGCATAATCAAGTAATCTAAGAAAAAAGAAGGTTCAGTAGAACACTCTTTGTAATATCTTATCAGTGTTCTTTGACTCTTCGCATTATTTTGAGTAACTTCTTATTTATAGGTGGTAGTATAAACTTGATAAATAAATTTCTTGGAAAGGTTTGTAATAATCTCTGTCTAGTATCTGTGGATAGCTTGTTGTTTTTGTAAATTCATGTTGAAAGTTTTCTTATCTCTCCTGTAGAAATAAATATAGTGCTATTATCATTTGTAAAATTATGTTCCTCATCTGAGGCTTGAGGATCTTCTTTATGTTTCAAATTTTTTATGTTAATTGATTTATTATTTCATATTTAGACATAAATTTGAGTTATCTTATAACTGCTTTGGGCATTCTAAAATTGCAAACTGCAAACTAAAAGAAAGCAGTCTAGGCAGAAAAGGGCATAACAGATAGAAATATATATATATGAACCTCTGTTTTGTTCATATTTGTAAAGTTATATGAATCCATATAATTGGACACAAACTAATAAAAGCAAGCCTAGTTATATGATCTGAGATATACTTACTGAACAGAGTTCATTTATAAATAACCTAAGTCATTTGGGTCATTGGGTCATTATGCATATTACAATCAGATGATATGACAAAATTGGTTGAGTATATATATCAGTTAGATCAGATAAGTTTATGTATGCAAAGCTTAATTAAATTAGAATTATTTTTATTTTCATAAGTTTTAACTAATCAAAACTTGAAAAAAATAAACTTTTAATATTGCAGTATTGCATAAAAAATATGGCATCAATTGTAAAAATAATATAAAAAAGAGAATTGTGATTATCATTAATATCTAATTAGCTTTATTCTTAAAATAAATATATATGGTACCTTTATTAGAGATTAGAAAAAAATAACAGTAAAATAAATTTATATTATAAGAAAGTTACCTTAATTAACAGTTTATTTCAACAGTAATCAAGAAAAAAAAATAAAATAAATAAAATAAAAAAATAAAAAAAATAAAAAATAAATAAAAAAAATAAAATGACTTTGGATTTTTTTGTAAATAGTAAATATTTAAATAATTATAAAGTAACTTCTCAAGATGGGCAGAATCTACTAGGAAATATTTTGTATAAAATTAAAGGATGCATCATATCAGTATATTAATTTAGCATATTTGAAAATTAGACATATTGAACATCTTATATGTATAATACATTTTTTTTTTTTATCTAAAACTTTTTTTTTCTTTTTTTTTGCAATAACAATAAGTAGAAAAGAATATAACTTTTAAGAATTTTTTTATTTAACTACATCTGATAATCCCAAAGCTAAAAAAAAGCAGTTTATTTGTTATGTATATAGAAATACACTTTATCTGTTGTTTTTACAAATTTAGCCTGCTTTGTCTTTAACAAAATAAAACTATGCTGAAGCTATCTTAAAGATTGTTATAATTTTAAAGCTGAATATAAGGAAGATGAAGTTTTAGAAATTCTTGGTTGGCCAGTACCTAAAGACACTAAAAAAAAAAAATAATAAAAAAGAGAGCTGCAAAGGTAATTAACTATACTGTTATAATTATATAATATATTTAGTACTGATTTATATTGTCTATATATTAATTATATAATATATATTAGATTTCATCTGAAGATGAAATTCCTATTGTAATACTCTGAATAATTGCTCACTTAAAAATTCCTATTCATAGGGTATCTTAAGTTGGCTTGTATAATGTTAAATGATACTATTACGAAAGAGAATGTGGATTTGATAGAGCATATATTTTATTAGAATATATGTAGATTATATTTCTCTTTACAAATGCTTTGTGCTTTATATATTATTTATATATCTGCTAAATATGCTAGTTATTCTAAATATGCTAGTTATTCTAAATATGCTAGTTACTCTAAATATGCTAGTTATTTTAAATCTACTATATATACAGTTTCTGCTAAATCTACTAACTATGCTACATACATTTGCTAAACAATTATGCAATCGATCTCTTTTAGGTTTAATGCATCATTGATCAGTTTTTAATTATTATACTATTCCAATTTCAAAAACCAATGCACCAAAAAAATTAACACATTTTCAAAGTTATGCTTCATGTCCATTATCTAAAAAAGATAGACCATATTTTAAAAACCTGATATTATATATGATTATATCAAATGGTCTTCCTTTTATTTTCATAAAAAATTATAAAACACAAGAGGTTTTTTATTTTATTATGCTAAGTTTAAAATTACCTAATCAATAAGTAGTAAGCAATAAAATTCTTCTAAGGTATTCTGAAATATTAGATGAGGAAATTCAACAATGTGCATATATTAATAAATTAGAGTAATTGCTGCATTTGACAGCTGGATGAACATTAAACAGATGTATTTTTTCAGTGTTATGTTAATTACTTCTCAAGGTAAAGCTTTGATTTAGAATTTGCATAATATTGATGATTAATGGTCAAGAACAAAAAATATGAAACTTCTCATTAAAGAAATTATGAATAACATACAAGAAAAAAATATAAAAATTAATTGATATGTGTCTGATTTTGCTAGGGAATATGCAACTACAAGACAAGTATTAAATATAAATACTAAAAATATTTATATATTTAAAATTTAAAATTTTTTTTTTTATAGACAACAACTAAAAATTAAATTTTCTAATAAGGTTTTTATGCCTTGCATAGTACACCAAATAAACTTGGTTTTTGGTGACATTTTTAAGGTATCTGATATATATAAAACAACATCAAAAAATATAATATGTATTGTAAGCTACTTTTATTATTCCCTATATTTTACTAGATTATTACAAAATAAACAAGTATCTTGTTATAAATAAATAATCTCTCTTGTAACTTCAGTCAAAATACATTAAAACAGATTTTATTTTTATTTTTATTCTATATTAAAAACTAAATTTGTACTTAAAATAAGTAGATTTTTAAATATATAAAATGTATAAATAAAGTTTAATAAATTATATTAATTTTTTTATTAGATATTGGCTATAAAATTTTCTTCAACAAGAATTAGGATAACAAATATTTCTCAAAATAGATAATTATAACAAAGATTTGTAGAAAATATGAATGCAACCAAAATGCCTTTACCTAACATCATATCTATAATACAAGATTCTAATTTCTGAGTTCAGCTTTATGAAATTCAAAATTTACTATTTCTACTATGTGGAATACTAAATAAGTTTCAGAAAAACACTACAAGACTTTTTGAAATGGCTCATTAAAACTTTTGCAGACTATAAAGATGAAGATTTTTCTGAATATATAGTCACACAATTAAAAAATAGTGAACTCAATAGGAACAACTCTTACTTTTTTTATTATTTGTCTTATATCCAAAATTTTGACTTTCAACATTTTCTTTCAATGTATCTGGTCTTTTTTATTTTTACTTTAGTCAATAGTTAAATTACTATTATTATGCTTGGTTTGGTAAAGTATCAATATGTATTTTGCCTAAATTCTTGTTATATTAAAGAGAAGTATTTCCTTTTAATAAAGAAACATATAACCAATTCAATAGAAATATTATTGATTTTGGAATTTTGCAAAATATTTAGTATCTGAATTATCTCAACTAGCTTTGTAATTATTTGGCATTTGTATTAATTCTGCTTTAGTAAAATGTTTATGGTTAACAATAAGTTTTTTATATATGAAATACTAAAATCGCATGCCAGTATATAAACATTATTTAGTTTATTGTAATCTGTTTATAATTTAATATTGCTAATTCTGTTAAGTTTATTAATTTAAATATGCCAAGGTGTTTGCTATAAGTCAATTGTGTAGTAATATATTAAGTAAGTGAAAACATAATGAAGCTGAAGAGACTGAACAAAAACATAAAAGAATTTAACTTGCAACTTCTATTCAATTTTATAATTTTGATAAACAAGACACTATACAAGAAGAATTAAGAAACAATAATAGGAATAATGATTTGTTTATTTCTGAAAATTTACAGTTAAGTGAAATTTCTCAAATGACAAAGGTTATGACTAAAGATATAAATAATAATTCTGATATTTTTAATAAAGAGAATTGGTTAAATATAGTAAAAAATTGGACTAATACTTTAGATGATAAAGATAATTTTAATCAGAATGAATCTTCAAGTAATGAAATACTTGAATTTGAATTAGGTGAATATATTACTTATTTAGCAAATAATCTGTTGGCAAATGAAATTTATTGGATTTATTCAATGATTCTTTAGAAGCATTTGTTTTATTCATATTTTAAGAATTTTAATAATTTATTAAAGTTTGATCAACATAAATAAATAAATAGTATTTGAAATATAAATACTTATATAATTTCTGAATTAAACATAAATAAATAAATAAATAGTATTTGAAATATAAATACTTATATAATTTCTGAATTAAATATAAATAAATAAATATGCATATGTGGTCTTGTAGTTAATATTAATTTATAAATAAAAAATTAAATATATATATATATAACAAAATTTAGAGTTAATAACCACTGATTCAAATTAGATACATGTAAAAATTTTGAAATTTTTATATATTTCTGACCCAAATACCCTAATAATACTATCATATTGTACAAATTAAAAACTCAGAACATAAAACAAATTATATAGCTTAAAAAATATCTGGTTGCAGATATTTTGTATTTTAAAAACATTACACATTATTAAAGAATTCTTGTTGTTTGTATCTATTACTATATTTGTATATAATAACATGCTAGGGTATTATTTTGAATAATAACCCAAATTAAACTTAATTTAGACTGAAATTCAAAATTACTTTCTATGCATTATTATGCACAAATATGATATATATTTTTAAATGACCTTACAAGTCATTTCATATTTTTAAATGATCAATGATTAATCATTATTTACTTGAGTTATGAAGTCATTTCAGGTCATTTACCATCTCTAATTTCCTTTATATTAATTTCATTATTAAAACCCTTATCCCTGCTATAATAAAGAAAAACTGAATGTTCTATATGTCATCAAACTACCTGAAGTAATAAAAGTAATAAAAGTAAGTAAGAAAAGTAAGATTTCTCAACTACCCCAGTATCACCACCAAATTTACTATGTAATTTTCTGATCACATGATGATAGACAAAATTGGCCAATGACGAATCTTGATTTAGTATACTGTTACGCGATCAGAAATAGTTGCCTATTAACAAAAAAATTCCTTAGGTAATTTTACTATAGCCCTTTAATATTTAACGTTAGTTTAAACACTAGCTCTAACATAAAGAATTTTGTCGATGATCACATGATCGAAAAAATTTGGTGAGAAGATAGATTTCTCTTACTTTTCAGGTGACCAATTACTCGGGTAGGCGACGGGACCTAAATGTGACGATCGATCACGTGTCACGTGTGGGGCTCACAATACTCAAACTTTAGTTCCTTAAACTTAACTTTTCTATCTTGCGTGTATGGTAAATTGAAGGGGAATTTACAGATAAGGGCCCAAAAATGAAATAATTATAAATAAGGGCCTCAAATGAAAATAATTACAGATAGAGGCCCGATATTCGAAAATTATTACAAATAAGGGCCCAAATATATCGTTAAAATTGTTGGACAATTTAATCATAACGGTATCATGGTTAATTGGCTTATTTCATGATTAAATGGGTGTTTTAGAGTTATCGTTCATTATTTAGGATTACAGTCAGATCTCTCTATAGTAACTTCCTCTATAATCTCATTTGGCTATAATCACAAACTTTTAAAACCAACTCATATAATGCATATAAATTTAATCTTCAAAATTCTTGAAACCAAAGGTGTGATTATAGTGAGTTTGACTGTAAAAAACAGGAAAATATTTCGCCCGATTGCCCGAATTTTTGAAATCCATGTGATGCAAAATGAAAAATTAGCTTTGTGTAATCTACCATGTATGATGTTTCGGTCCTCACTTTTAGAACAAACACGATTTTGAATATCACAGGGTCGAAGTATTACTATATCTTGTACTTTAAATATATTCATAAAGGTTGACAAGTTGGATCATGAGAATTGGCCTTACTCTATGAATGTAGTCAGCTTTACGCTTGTTGCTGAAATAGTAAAAAGACAAGAACTGGCTTCATTTGTAAACCAAACAGTTAACAGCTTACTTGTTTGTTCATTCTTAACTTAGAAATCAACAGATTAACAGTTTACTTGGTTTGTTCGTTCTTAACTTAGAATCCAACAGAATAACAGTCCAAGGCCGAATGGACATTTTGTAAAAGTCATACCGACTTGTAACTTTGAATCTAACATTTATGAACAGGTTTTAAGAAGTATTCAATGAACCAAATTTACAGCATGAATAATGGGTTGACAAATCGAATGTACCTTTTTTGTAGTGTATTGGAATTTATATTCAAATTATTAATTGATTATTATTACATTTCTTATGCATTAACAATCAATGATCACTGTCATATTCAAATTATCGAAACATGGCTAAATCAGTGCCGGAAATTTGATGTTCTCATGAGAACATACTTTTGCATTTGAGAACATTCGTTACTTTAAACATTTTCTCTATAAAAATATTTTTGAGAACATGTTGCTTGATAAATATGCTCTCTATATAGTATAGTACTAAATGCAGTTAACAATTGGAAAATGAGTAAAGTCTGAAAAATTCCGGAAAGAAAATGAATGAACATAAAAGACGAGCAAGTTTGGGACAAAAAATTCGAATAAATTACCGATATTATCCGAAAATTTTCAAAAATGGCAATAGAAATTTTTGGTATTGAGAACAAAAATTTCAAACCAGATTTTCAAGACTGGGCTAAATAAGTATTTAAGCGTATAATTATTTGGGCTCTTATTTGTACAGTAATAATTTTCAAATATTGGGCCTCTATCTGTAATTATTTTCATTTTGGGCCCTCATTTGTAATTATTTTTATTTTTGGGCCCTTATCTGTAAATTCCCCTTTATTTAACTATCGTTACGTCAATCGATTACACATTTATTGCAGTATTCGATTGTTAACAGTATCAAGTTTAAATTAGTATTAACTTGGGCTTAAGGATGGCTCCGAAAGTATCTACATTCGGTAGTCTACTGAAAATCGAAAGTCTCAATTTTCGAACATAGCACGTGACGCAGACTTCGGCAACGCCAATCATATATTGACACAGATACTTTTTTAAAAAAGTATCTGTGTCAAGATATGATTAGTATTTGTCGAAGTCTAATTTCGGTAAGACTTTCGACTTTCGGTAAGTCGAATTTACCGAAGTATTTCGACACGGCCAAAGTAATTTCAGAGCCATCCTTACTTGGGCTACCATTCCAACCTAAATGAATTCTAAATATACAATAATTCCGTTCTGACAAACATTCATTTTTTTTGCTGCTGTAGACTACATGAATATCTTAGTAATTACGCACATTTAACGAATCGATTTTTAAGTACGCTCACTTTTATTAATATACAATAATAGTGTACATATAATACAACAACATAATTTTTACCATCATTATAATGGCTGAGAGGATTCAATCGTTATATGAATATCTCTATACATTATATAATTATTTTAATTTTTATGGAGTTATTTCGTTATAACGAGAGAACCAATTTATAAAATATTGTATATATGTATATATAAATAAATTATAAAGTTAACAATATTAATTGACTGAGAATTATTAAATAATTTTGAAGCCGGCAATTAATAATTCGCTAGTCTAAGATTGCTAATAATATTAAAACGAATGTATATATATATAGATATATTTGTATCGAACGAAAAAGAGGTTGTTTTTAGGGATGGTAAAAATAAAAATATTTTTTCACTGATTTAAAACAGGTGATGATAAAGTCCGAATAGTTAATCTAATTACATAACTGATCACCTGTTTTTAATTACATAATAAAAATATTTTCCATCCCTAGATTTATTGATGAAAATCGGGAGGGGGTAAGACCTCAGCGAAAAGGTCTTTTAATAATTCACGAACGTTTTCGTCATCGTTGATCTTAATCGGTATATTAGTTGACGGACGAACCGTAGCTGGGATATTCATAACTGGAATATTCATAAATTGAATATTCATATTTACGTTTACTATTCGGATTTCAGAATAGAAATGTTGAGCAGCAAGATTGGCTACACGCCGAAATTCTTCTATTAGAAGAATATCACAATTTTTTAGCTGATTCCACAAGCTACCCGCGTGTCGGGATAGATCGTGTCTTTCAACCCTCAGGTTTAATGCAGTGACGCAATCCTGTATAACATTCCGAAACAAGATAAAGCATGTTTGTGAAGCTCTTCTTCTGCCATTGCTTAGGAGGTATCTAACTGTAGGGATCGTAAATATTACTCGATTATTTATGAAGCAAAGGTAGATTTGCCCACAATCAAAACGAATGAGTTGTAAAGTGACATTGTTTACAGTTGATACAATTGAGTATGTTACAGTAGTCGACATTAATGAAATATAAATTGTATGTAACGTTAAAAAAAAGTATGGGAAGATCAACGATGGTGAGGAAATTTTTTTTCAAAGAAAGGGCTGTTTATATAATTTTGATCCAAACATCAAACGTATTTTCAATAAACAAGTTTACGTTTAACAATGAAAGCTTTGTTTTAAACTTTAAAACAGCCACATAACTTTGGATATTCGAGTGAGTGGTCTGATTTTTTTTTTCATTCCCAAGTTTTATGAATTTGTCATTAACATTGTAGATGAATTAGTCATTAACATTGTAGAAGAAAATTTACACATTATGCAAGTATGCAGGTATGCAAATAAATCGGATTATGGACCATTAATGCATTTGCGTGAAAAACAAAACGCCATATTTTTTAAGCATTTACGCGAATTGAGCCATTCTAGAAAAGGTGAATTCAATAAAAATTTACCCACCTAAGTATCATATAATAAAAATTATTTTGGCAGCTTAGTCAATGATGCGTGAATTTTTATTAGATAATATGTGTATGCTTAATATGTGTATGCTTAATAAAATGGCAAATATCAACCGTAAATACTTAGATAAAAAAAGATTGAATTTAGTACATAAATGGAATTTCTAAAAAAATAGTTAAAAGGATCGATAATGTAAATGCAGTTTCCCCATTTTTATGGGGCTTTTCTAGCTTACTCATAAAATTACACGAAATTCCATAATTATATTTTCTTTGATGACATTCCTTTAAAGACGAAAACACTATTAATTTTAAGCATTCTTTTGAATATTCGTAGAATTAATTATAGCTAATATCAAGTATTTAACGTTTCGCGGCACTCTAGGTAAGGCTGAAAGAAGTTTCTTTCGGTTATTACCGACATTTTTTATAATCTTTAGTTATTCAGCTCAAGAGACGTATCTATATTTGAAGTAGATCATTCCAAATTAATGCCATCATATCGTAAGTGAACTGCATATTTTCCTAATTAATATATGAATCAAAAAATACCAAAATACTAAACATATCCTTATTAAAACAAACAATGATGCCCGATCCAAAATATTGAAGCATATGATAGACGCACGCACGTACACGTTGTATTTTTTAGAATATATTACAATTATAATCAAATAAATAAGCATTTTCAAATTATTCAAATAAATTATTTTAAATGTGCTGCTTTAGGTTATGAATTAAGATAATGGAGTTATCGTTATTACAAATCAATTCAATTATTCAATAATTAAACCGGTGACGTCGTTGACCTGAACCAAATATATATTTAACATTTGTTTACAAGGGCTGTTCTAATTGATATTTAGAAGGTTGGCGTATGCATAAAAGATTCAATGAAATTTAACATAACATTCATGGGAAACCAAATTTGGCAAGGTAATCAATACTATATACGTTTTAAGTTTACAATGGTTACTTAAAAAAAAAAAAACCTTTTAGACATGATACAAATATATCCATTTTCCTTAAGACCATTGTCTGTGTGTAATATATCATTTTACTGCGGCAATCTTAACAATTCTTAGTGACTCCCGGAAATTAAATATTTTTTTTTTATAACTTAAAAATTTTTTAACCAACCAGCTCAATGATCTTCTGATTTCTAGACGTTCTATAATATTCTTGTGCATTATTATTTCCAATGCGTATATCTCACAAAGTCATGGGTTCGATCATGGGGCACTACAAAGAATTTTATAATTATCATTATCAGTTTCAAATATTATTATTTTTTGAAATTAATTTACCGCCTCCTAGCGAATTACTTTGTCCTTTCACATGTGTGCAAAATATTAACCATCTGTCTTGTCCATTTCTTCAACTCCGTTTTTTTTTTAAGCACAAAAATCCCTTCAGGTCGCAATTACATGTATTTTATCCTCTGAATACAACTTTATCATAAATCAAGTCACTAGTTATTTTTTTGTTATGTATGAACCCTGTATCCAAAGTTCTAAATAATACAATGATATAAAAATTATAAATTACCTAAAATATAATTTAAGTATTACTGTGTAATGTATGAGTACCGAAATCAAAGTAAAGGTACTGTAACCAAGATCAGTAACTGCATGATGCTGCATATGTGTAGTTGTATTTTCGAAACACTTAGACTGCTGGAGGCGCAATCTATTAAAGCAATTAAAGAGATATCAGTTCTCGTAATAAAAATAAACAATTGACCAAGATTTGCAATTGTAACTGTCGTGAAATGGTGATTTTCTACCTGCGGGTAAAAATCATCCGGATTGGTCGGATCGTACAATGAATTCATTGGGTTTAGCCCAACAATACAGTATGTTGCATTCATTCTTGTCGTCTGATTAATTGTCACGGCTTATGCCGTAGATAATTATGACATAAGCTTTAAATAATTACGGCTTATGCCGTAGATAATTACGACCTAAGCTTTAAATAATTTCGGCATAAGCCATATGCATTAAACATACGCCGTTATGTTATTGATTTTTCATGCATTATAGTCTTGCGATAGGCCTGCTGCATGTGACGCCGGTCATGAGATGATGTATCTGATCCAAAGTGTGAAGGATTATATTTGTATCATTGGCTGTTAAATGAACCTATCATTATGAAATAATTTTTTATGTGCTGCACACCAGGTGTGGGATTAAATTTGGATCGGGTACATTTCCTCCTGTTGATGATGTGGTGAAGCTGTGTGTCTGCATTGGCGTTAGATTGCCAAAGTCACGACGCAAAAAATAGTACGTATTCTAACACTAATAATTCGAAATGTTTGCCTAAACTTTAATACAAAATATGTAGAAAGAATCTATCAAATTTTGTACTGAAATTTTTTTGTTTAATGACTGAAAGCTAGTTACCATAACAAATTACTAATTATTTGTGATTCTTTTTTTTCGCCTTTATTCTATGTTTCGAATTTATATATTACACATTGATCTTACAATCAAATTGGGCAGTAATCCACTGACCAATCCTTGCGGCATGGCTTTGCTGCTTGCTTCTCGATCACGTCGATATAACTTTGATTAGTACATAATTATTAAATTCTTCGCAAGTTGGGCTTTTTCTTGATCCGAATGGCTACACATATAGTAATAATTTATTGTGGTACACACAAACTTCCTACACTAAATACGTATCAACGATCAAAATCACGTGTACCAGACTGGATATAATTTTTAATGGACTGTTTTAGCCTGTACTTGGGGTATAGATTTTTATCGTGTTTCTCAATTTATTTAGCACGTGATAGCTATTTTAAATTTAGTTTATTTATTTAGGGGTTATAGGTTAAGAGCCTATACCCCTGGTATAGTTTAAGGACGCCCATTTTTAATACAACAGTTTAGTGTCCCTAATCGATCCGATATACTGACAAGATGATTGGTCATTCAAAATTTAAACTTTTTACGGTTTTTATTCGAGTGCAATGCAACAACCATATACGTAATAGAGATATTTGTGCGTACTTTTAAATCATACAAGCTTGTGGAATTCTAAATTGCCTTTAACACTAAAAAGTTAGAATTAATGTCAGAAGTTTATACGCACGCTGTGCTACTCTCGTTAAAAAGCTATGATTAAAGAAACTGTGACGTTATGTTTGAATATTAACTAGTTTACGACTCGTGATAGTGTAAAATGTTCTGATTGATAAAATATTAATTATCTGAATTGTAGGATAATTATCAAGAGAAAATACAGCACACTTCAAATACTTCGAATTTATATACTGAGAGATATGAGCTCAGAGGGTGGCACTAGTCAACGTTTCGATTGAAAAAAATAAAATAATGCATAACATTTTGGAGTATATTGCTAAGATTACGACATACAAATGAGATGAACGCTCGAAGATCGGTAATATTTGCGCTGAAAATATTAAATATATGATGCAAAATCGTCATGATAAGGTGTTCATAAATTTCGAGAATCGCCATAGATAATTATGGTAACCTACTGTGCATAACCATTATCATAAAATCTTCTGTGTTGCTCTAATAAGATTAATTTAAAGATATTTTACATTATAATTTAAAACAATTTAGGTTTAAATAGTTATAAATAAAAAAAATATAATTTTTATAATATAGAGTTCTTCGATTTGATTTATTTGTCTAATTTTATATATACTTTTGTGGTAATATAAAAAGTTATTTAGTTTTTATAATGCTATCAATTTGTAAATTTAAAAAATTAATTATTTTAAATTGCAGGTCACCGCTAATAACTATCACCGTAATATCAAATCAATGTAGTTAAAGAATAAGATTATTGTTAAAGCCAAGCTTTAAAATTAAAAAATTTCATTTGTTAACGCTAATCACAAAAAAAAAAAAAAAAAGAATCAACCCGATTTTATATTGATCCGTAATTTAGTTGATTATATACCAGTAATAATTATGGAAAATTTTATAGCTATTACACGATGTTAGACTAATATTAAAATACAAACTTAAATACATTTATGCTTTTAGTTTATAACTTTATTACCACATTTTTAAATTAATAACGTAAAGCTAAAGACGTGTATATATATATATACTACTTTTGCATTTTAATCATATATTTGTTTTTGGAAATACAATTACAAAATCTATCATTAATAAAAAACACTTTATTAAAATATATTTGGATACAAATTGTTTTGCCCTAGACCATATAAAATTACGTGTTAAAATTTTCAATTACTTATCTATACTGTTTGATCTATTAAAACTCCATACTATTATGTAACAACAAATACATACCAAATATATCATCTTTAATGTCACCTTTTTCAAACTATATATTAATTCAATATTCAGTATGAATTTCCTTTGTCTTCCTCTCAAAACCTTTTACAAGAGGTCGGCTATAAGCTTTACTGCTTCTAAATCTTCTAACAATGCCAAGACTGTTCGTCTCTAAACTTAACGGTCGAATTCCCAAATCTTCAAAAGTTTTTGCTCCTGGTGTAATTGTATCACTAATAAATAATCTCTCAATATCTTCAGGAGAAATTGTTAGTAGAAAAGGTAGATTAAATGCTTTCGTCACAGCTAACGCTATTGGTTTTGGAATATTAAGTCTATATCTACGATTTTCAATTAATTCTCCAATTAGATCAAAAACTTCTTCATATGTGAATTCACGAGGACCATATAATTCATAAGTCTTTCCTATGGTTGATTCATCTTTTAACATACGTTCAAGTGCTAGAGCAACATCAAAAACCTGTAGAAATCGCCAATGAATTATAAAATTTTACAACATTTATAATTAATCACAACACAAATTATGTTACGTACATGAACGGGTCTAACTTTTGTTTGACCATAATTAAGCATATATTCATATTTGGTTGCTAAAAATTATTAATACTTTAAAATTAAAATTAATCTCAAAAAACAATGTATTAGACACAAAAAATATAAACTTAATTCAACTAACATGCATATCTCGTTAAAAATCTGTCTTCTTGTCCGTATATAGTAGAAGGACGAACTATAGTTGCTTCAGGAAATTCTTTTTTCACAGCTACTTCACCCAAAGCCTATTAGAATATAATAGCACTAAATTTTTAGAATTGAGTAAAAAAAAAAATTGCCAATAATTAAATTATTCATACTTTTGAACGAAAGAACTTGGATGGTGAATATTTATCAGCATTTAAGGCTGATACATGTACAAATCGAGAAACACCAAGTTCTCTTGAAATTTTAGCAATTCTAGCAGCTCCTTCGACATGAACTTTCTCAAAAGTGAAATTCCTGTAAATTTTCGTAACAGTGCTTAATTTATACTAATACTAATGATAAAAAACCGTGAATCAATTTAATTTTACCTTGTCTCATGATCTCTACCTATCAAGTTGTAAACAATATCAGAATGCCTAACAGCTTCCTCGATATTTTTTTCATTGCGAAGATCAAATTCCTAAAAAATAAGTTATAGCAAAAATACATGTTGAATATTAAATATAAAATACATAAACATATATTTATATATTTTTTTAAAAAAAATCATGCGCATACCATAGGAACAACCTGACCTAAATCACCACAAACTTTTAAATGTCTCTTTGAGTCTTCATCTCGGTACGGTACAACAACTTGAGTTCCTTGCCTAGCTGCGACATTGATCCAGATAAGTCCATCAAAATAGTAATTCAATAACATTTGACTTTTTTTATCACCTACCAAGTTTACTAACAATATAACGTCCTACAAATCCTGTACATCCAAAAACAGTTGCTATATGTCCACTCACTGAAGATCTTTAATTAAAAAAAATTTAATTTTAATATCTTACTATGAAAAAAAAGTACTCTATTAAACTTTAACGTACCGGCCTACAGAACCATATTTGATGATAGGTTTTCCTGTTCTTTGCCTTATGACAAGATCATGCGCAAACCGCTACTTGGAATAAAAACAATTATTTCAAATTTATACTGTTCAGAAAAATATTTGTCGTCATAGTTATTTTACCTTTTGACTTAACGTAGGAATCCACAAATTCCTACAAGAAATAACACTAACACTAAACATGGGTCTAAAGACAATATATTATATGTTTAGATGCGATTAATCTATTTTTTGGGAAGCATGACCCAAATTTTACTTTATTGGCTGCAAATATGCAACCTGTTGATCCTGGTTGACGTATATTGGGTTTATATTAGAAAAAAAGATATTTTGACCAAGATCAGGTTTAACGTAAAAATCGAAACGAACCCACTTTTTTAGCAAAAAAAACAGGGATAACTCTGAATTTTTATTATGAAACCATCTACTGCGGCTTAATTAAAAAGATTTATCATGAAATTCTACTAATAATCATTACAGTAAGACCTACCTCCTCTATAATAACAAAATCTTGAAATAGCGTTATTTCGAGTTTTGGCCAGCATTAAGCTTAATTCGAGCCAAAATTCGAATTAACGTTCATGCACCAGTGGATCGGTGCAGTAGACGCAGCGTACATAGATTTAAATTTGCACATATTTCATATAACAGTCACACGATATGTTACATGTAAATTTTTGTATTACAGTCAAATGATTGACGTATTTAAATTTCATATGTAAATTTGCGTCAAGTTTAATTCTGTGCAAGGATTTTGTCTATTATTTAGCATTTGAAGGTCCTTCATGTCAAATCCTTAAAGTTCGCCCATTTTTTCACGATTTACATATTAATGGTGGCCAAAACAGTCAACAAAATTGACATACACAAATACAGATCAGTTGTCATATATCTAATCACAAACCCATATTTGGTATGCATCAATTTTGTTGATTGTTTTGGTAAAATGAGATGCGTCACAATTTTGCAAATTAAACAAATTGTTGAACTTTAAGGTTTTGATTAATTATAACATTATTTTTAATCACCGTTAAAATTTTATATGAAGAACCTTCAAATGCTAAAGAATAGACAAAATCCTTGCACAGAATTAAAATAACAACTTCTTACCACTAAATAAAAGCTAGAAAGCTTATTTGTGCAAATTTACATTTGATCATTTGATTATAATACAAAAATTTACTTTCTGATCTGTGTAACAAATTGCATGACTGATAAATAAATTGTGTATAATTTTTTTATACTCATTTTTTTAACCTATGTCAAAAATGAACATGTGTAAGAATAAGCATGTATAAAAATAAGCAAAATTTTCATTTATTCTTATATATTATTATATATTTTAATATATTCTTACAAATTATAATAAAATTAATAAATGATTTCAAATTTAATATATATATTGTATTTTTTTTTTTTTTTTTTTTTTTTCTCCCTCTGCTATCCTGAAGGTCCTTAGTCACCTTAGGATCTGTCACATCTCTCAA